ATGGAGCAGTGTGTTGTGATTGGTCGAGCGCTTCAAGTGTGTTTGGGAAATGTCCCGCCCCTTTCCATAACCGCCAGTTTAACACACTACTAACTAACTCAACCAGTTAGTTATTTTTTATTCTGTGTATGAATTATTATAATGAGGAATATTGAGACGTGTTCGTTCCCGGGAGAAACTCAAGACTACAGTGGAGGCGTTTCAGGAGTTCAGAAACACTGACTCTGATATAGAGAATATCATAACCTCGATTTAAACATCTATGAATTTTTCTCAATTCTGGTTCTTATCTTATTAAAAATCTGCTTGTTTTGTTTTCACCGGTTCCTAATTCCACTTTCTCAAACACAAAACCTCCATCCCGCCTCTCGTGTTTTCCCAGAGAGTCACTAGCCTGGTTTGGTTTCCATTACAGATTTGCACCAAACCTTTGCAATATTTGTTAAATGTCGATAGAAAAACGAAATAACAGCGTTTCCATTAACCGATGTTATTCGACTAAAACATAATTTTGTTCCTTTCCCAATAAGTCATTCCAAAAATCATGGCAATGGATGTTAGTAGGTTTATCCCAGCCAACGCAATAGCCATTATTTTTTAACCTCATTGGCTCTTGCTGAAGCTCAAACGCGCTCATCATATATCTGTGATTGGCTACAATAATCAATGCTTCAAAAACATGTTGTATATATACATCAATGACGCTCTCCAGCGAGCGATTACACAGACACACACGCGACACACACGCGAGCGCTTACACAGACCATAGACTGTAAAAAAATATGGACGTAGTGTCCGTGACATCACCCGTAGGTTTCTGAAGAGCGTTTTTGAAGCCTAAAGTGGGCGGGGCCGGCCGTCGCCATCTTGAGTTGTAAAAAAATTCACCCCCTCACAGTTGTCATGAAGGGCAAAATAAGCTATAAAGACTAAAACCACTTTTTGCTCCAGGCTGTAAACATGTTTTTTCTGCTGTAAAGTTGGGCACTTTAACATGGGGGAGATGCAGATTTGACTCACTTCTGCAGCCGGCCTCAAGCGGTCAGTAGATGAATTGCAGTTTAATTCACTTCCGTGTTGGTTTCAAGAGAGAGACAGGGAGGTTGCCGCTTGACACAGACACACACGGACACACACCTGGGACACACTGGCTGCGTGGCGTAAGCGTCTCAGCTGCTGTGTCTGTTTTTATTTCGGCTCCCATGTTAACAGGTTAGAGCTGGCAGACAGTCTGCGTGAAAACGCGTGCATGCTAGAAATAGAACCGACGCCTATTTTTCACGCGACACGCAAGCGTGTTGGAAGCGTTTCCAGGCAAAATAAAATAGGAAAATGTGTTTATATGTTATTTTGTACACGAATACATGTTAATAAATTACATTTTGATGGTTGAAAGTCTAGGTTTTGACATAAATTCAGATATACATATAATTTAAAAATACATTCATATAATTTAAATATATGTTATTTATTTTTTATAATTTAAAAAATAAATAATAATTAAATAATAAATAAATAAATAAAATTTTCAAATATTGCACCTGTCAATACAGAACGAAATATTATGTAGTCTATTTTGCTGTCAATACTGCTGACAGTGTCTTTATCAGTAGGCTTTATATTTATGCTTAACATAAAGTATAGGGCTTCCACAATACGTCCTCCCTGTACGTCACCTAGCAGCAGCAGCGCCGCGTCAGACACGCTTCTGGTGTGCAAAGACACAGAAAACGCCACGCAGCCGCCACGCAACAGAAACGCCACGCTCACGCTACGCAGCCAGTGTGTCCCAGGCCTTACACGGACACACACGCGAGCGCTTACACAGCGGATCGGTCCGGTGCTTTCAAACGCTCCCGCTCCCGTTTTTCAAAACACTTTCAAACGCTCCCGTGCGCTGATCATTGTAGCCAATCACAGACATATACGATGAGCGCATGAACACAGCGGCCAATCAGAGCCCTTTACGATTCCGCTCAAAGCGTCACATTTTTTAAATTTCAGAACCGACTTGGTACCGAAGTCGGTACTTTTGACAACATATCTCCCATATTTTTAATTTGGACTGCAGTACCTATTTCGACCACTAGCTGTCATTCTTACAGACTGCACCTTTAAGTGGAAAAGATGTTTGTGGTCGTACCGATCTGTGCGTTGTCGTACAGAAGCAGGTCGTATGCGCCCTGGTACCCGGTGCGGTAGTTAGTTCGGGTCCCGCTGTCCCACTGCACCACTACGGTCTTGTCTGGCGTGGTTGTGCTGCCCTGCCGGCCGATCTCCACCACCGTGCCGATGTGCCCTTCTCCCTCGTCCTGCGAGCTCCACTTCCAGTCCAGGCCGCGCACCACACGCATGCCCACCTCCATGCTGCCGCGCGCCGGCCCGGCCTCACTGGGCTTCCGCTGCGCTCGCGGGACGCTAGCACTCGCTGCCGGGGGGCGGGGAACCGGGAGCGTGAGCGAGCCGAGGAGGGCAGTCTCTGGAGACAGGTCAGGGCTGACTGAAAACACACAGAAAACACACCTTAATATGGGCTGAAAAGCTCAATTCGAATTTCTATCTTAAATATTAGCAAAAGTCGAATTATATTCAAATTCTAAAATCAATACTTATGGATAGTTCACCCAAAAATGAAAATTAGCCCATGATTTAGTCACCCTCAAACCGTCCAGTGAATGGCTAGAGAAAATTTGAAGACCAAAAAAGTGCATCCATCTATGATAAAAAAATACTCCACACGGCCGTCTGTCGGAGGCTAGTGATTATAGTTTATAAAGTTTTAAATATGGGTATTTTTCTTACACAAACATATCGCTTCACTTCAGAAGGCCTTTATTAACCCCCGGAGCCTCTGGAGCACTTTATGATGGACACTTTAATCATGGATAGATGCACTTTTATGATGGATAGATGCACTTTTATGATGGACAGATGCAATTTTATGATGGACAGATGCAATTTTATGATGGACAGATGCACTTTTATGATGGACAGATGCACTTTTATGATGGACAGATGCACTTTTATGATGGACAGATGCACTTTTATGATGGACAGATGCACTTTTATGATGGACAGATGCACTTTTATGATGGACAGATGCAATTTTATGATGGACAGATGCAATTTTATGATGGACAGATGCAATTTTATGATGGACAGATGCACTTTTATGATGGACAGATGCACTTTTATGATGGACAGATGCACTTTTATGATGGACAGATGCACTTTTATGATGGACAGATGCACTTTTATGATGGACAGATGCAATTTTATGATGGACAGATGCACTTTTATGATGGACAGATGCACTTTTATGATGGACAGATGCACTTTTATGATGGAGAGATGCACTTTTATGATGGACAGATGCACTTTTATCATGGATAGATGCACTTTTATCATGGACAGATGCACTTTTATCATGGATAGATGCACTTTTATCATGGACAGATTCACTTTTATCATGGATAGATGCACTTTTTTGATGGATAGATGCACTTTTATGATGGATAGATGCACTTTTATGATGGACAGATGCACTTTTATGATGGATAGATGCACTTTTATGATGGATAGATGCACTTTTATGATGGATAGATGCACTTTTATGATGGATAGATGCACTTTTATGATGGATAGATGCACTTTTCACTTTTATGATGGATAGATGGATGCACTTTTATGATGGACAGATGCACTTTTATGATGGACAGATGCACTTTTATCATGGATAGATGCACTTTTATCATGGATAGATGCACTTTTATCATGGACAGATGCACTTTTATCATGGATAGATGCACTTTTATCATGGATAGATTCACTTTTATCATGGACAGATTCACTTTTATCATGGATAGATGCACTTTTTTGATGGATAGATGCACTTTTATGATGGATAGATGCACTTTTATGATGGACAGATGCACTTTTATCATGGATAGATGCACTTTTATCATGGATAGATGCACTTTTATCATGGACAGATGCACTTTTATCATGGATAGATGCACTTTTATCATGGATAGATTCACTTTTATCATGGACAGATTCACTTTTATCATGGATAGATGCACTTTTATGATGGATAGATGCACTTTTATCATGGATAGATGCACTTTTATCATGGATAGATTCACTTTTATCATGGACAGATGCACTTTTATCATGGATAAAGGCACTTTGATGGACTTCAAATTTTCTCCAGCCATTCACTGCCATTATAAAGCTTGGAAGAGACTAATATAACTCTGATTGTATTCGTCTGAAAGAAAAAAAGTCATATTCTTTCTTAAATATTAGTTTTAAAAAAAAAAGCAACAGGCAGACACCATTGTATGGACAACATACAATGTCATTTCTGAAACCACTAGTGTCACAAAGCATGAGCAAATTTAATGCCAATGGTGACCGTTAAAAACCACTCAGAGAGGGAGGCCTATGTTTTAAGCAATTGTTTTGATAGAGGGAAACAAGATAGCCTACAGTTCTAGTTTCAACATTGTTTATTCTTCTTTAAACACAATTTAAAGTTGTTTGAAAGGTAACTCGTTTGGTTTCGGAGTCGCTTTGGGATCCCCGTATCTATAGGATTTAACCATATAGGGTCTTATGAAGATGAAGATTACAAAAGAAAAGTTTATTAAAAATGAGAATCTAGAAGGATATTGAGATATCTTTAATACTTTTAGAGTTACAGGTATGCAAACTTTGGAAAAAATATTTTTGACACTGCAATGTTCAATGAAAGATATATTTCTAGTTTCAACATTATTTGTTCTTTAGATATTCCTATTTAAATGAAAAAAGTATAAGCTGTATGCAAAGCTTTGACTACTGAAAATGTGTACAATTTACTGATGGAGCCACATTGAAATCCCTATATCTCTGGGATTGAACCATATAGAGCCTTTAAAATGAAGATATCAAAAGAAAAGTTTGTTAAGAACCAGAATCTAAAAGGATATCCAGAGACCTTTAACACTTCTTGAGTTACAGGCATGCAAACTTTGGGTGAAAAACACAAGTAGTGCTTTTCCCCATTTTTGAACTATCACCGTTGGCTTATAATGCAACAAATATTGCTAAAGTCAACAGATTTCACTAATAGATCTACCAATCTCTGTGTAAGAATAAAATAATGATGCTGTCATCTTTCTAAAGTCATTTTTACACCCCTGTAATGTAGCTCCAAATCTTAGGTGAAAATTGTCTTTCATCACTATTTATGTTTCTTTCTTCAGAAAAAAATATGAACAAAATCTAAATTTTGAGCCGGGAAATTTCTGAAATTTGGTTGATTTGACACGGAATGACCCAAAAGTTCGTTCATCAAGACATTAAATCGCATATATTCCCTCATGCCTCAAAGTTCACTTTGTTTCTAAAATATCAAAGTAAATCCAATGCAACCCGAATGCAACCTTGTGAACGCAGTCAAAGTGATTATTCATCGGTACGTGAAACACAGGGAAAGCAGACATGTACAAGCTGTTGAAGCCAAACATGCACCTTTAATTAAATAAGCGAGCATATGCCAGCTGCTTAAACCAGATACAGTCTTCAAACTCGTCCCATAACTACAACAGCCACGGAGAAGAGCAGCAGATGTTGTGCCCATGCGGTGTCGCTCGAGGCACTCGACCTGTTGCACACAGGGTCTCAGACGGGACGGATAAGAGCTTCCAACAGATGGACGAGCTCCACAGTGTGTACGAAGAGGCGTTCTCACTGAGCTTACACAGAAACAGCTCGATGAACCCCGCTGGCCTTCACAGGTGCAGGTCAATGCTCAGAAACCGGCTCTGGCAAGCTCTGAACTCACAGATGTTTTTAAGACCTTTTAGAGACATTGTTTAGACTCCTTTAAAGAAATCAAGATCCTTTTAAGACCATTTTAAAGATTTAAGGATCCTTTTAAGACTTAGATTTGTCTTTAAAGGGTCTTAATTTCTTTAAAGGAGTCTTAAAAATGTCTTAAAAGGATCCTAATCTCTTAAAAATGGTCTTTAAAGGGTCTTAATTTCTTTAAAATGGTCTTAAAATGATCCTAATTTCTTTAAAATGGTCTTAAAATGATCCTAATTTCTTTAAAATGATCTTAACAGGGACATAATTTCTTTAAAAGGGTCTTAATTTTTTTAAATGGTCTTTAAAGGAGTCTTAAAAAAAATTCTTAAAAAGGTCTTAAAGGATCTTTATTTCTTATTTCTTTAAAGAAATTAAGATCCTTTTAAGACCTTTTTAAGAATTTTTTTTCCAGCTGTAAACCAATGCATGCTCATTATTAGGAATGCATCTACAGTAAATCTAAAGTTTCAAAGACACTCGGAATTAAAAGGCAGAAATGTACTATAAAACCACAACAATCAAACAAAAGGCATTGGGAACACAGGGCTGTCGACTGCAACTAGAATGATCTCAAATGCAACAACAACAAAAAAACACATTTTTTTGTTTAAAAAGCACCTTCTTTGCCTGTTTTTAAATCTATGTTTAAATCTTACTTATTTAAACAAACTATGGTGGATTAAAAGTTTAATTCAAATTGTTTTATTATATTGTTTTTGTAAATTTTGATATCTTTTTTTGGTTTTACATTATTTAAACTTTATGTACACCTTGGTCAACCTATTTAAAAGTGCTTCATTTTTATATTCTCCAAATATCTGTATAATAAATCACAAGAAAAAACAATTAGGCTTTGCTCAAATGGATGTGCAATTATGATAATGCAGAAATCCAAACTTTTTTCATTTAAGAGAGAATTTCCTAGTCATCGCAACCAACAATTACTGAATTCTGTAATCAATGCAATGAAATAATATTGTGCGATCAATGCATCAGTGCATTTTTACACCCCATCCACCATTAAACAGCATTTAAACAGCATATCTTGAGAAAATGCTCAGAATCTGATGTCATGAGGTCATTAACGTCTCAGCGCTGCTGTGATATAGCGAAAACACAAATAAGCTTTAAAAAGAGGAACTGCTCTTTTCCCATCAGACAACTTCCTCACTTCATGAGCCTGTAGTGGGATAAAGGTCAGTCTGGTGGACCAGATCTACATTACAACACATCTGCAGTGTCGTCGCACTCGAGTCCACGTCTGAGCCCACAACCATCCTTTCTATGACCAGTGGAGACCAGTGCATTCAACTTTAAAGTCCAAGGCCAAGTCCAAATGTCCAAGATAGAGAAAAAGCAGTAACCTGTTAATTTTCCTAATACAGAAAACTATTTATTGTCCCCTATGCTATTAATATCCTCGTCACGCGTTCAGGCGGGGTCCCCCAGGGTTCGATCCGTGGACCTTTTACTTTGTGTCTGACGTACAAATCCCAAGGTTTGCAGATAATACTATGATTTACACACAAGAATAAAGCAGTCAGGCAACATTACTTGGTAAATGTGCATTAAAAACTTGGTAACACTTTACAATAAGCTTCATTGGTTAACTATATTAGAAGCATGAACTGCACATATACAGCA